AAACTGGACGCTTCAGCATCTTGAAGGAGATACTTATCAAAAACGGGTATCCTTCTATATTCATTGATAAAAACAAAACCGAAACCGCTGAAAACACAAATAATTTCAGCAGAAAAGAAGACACTATACATAAAGATCGACTTTAGGGGTGACAGACCCACATACTTTTTAAGGAGGAGAATTTCCGATTCTTTAAAAAGAACTTCAGTTTCAGTCATCACTTAACAAAGAATATAATTGAAAGTAGAATGAGTCGTATAATTGATCAGAGTTAAAGTCATTTACCAACTATTTACAGTTAGGATATAAATAAAGATTGTACAAATTTATTTTAATGACAAAGATTATTATAAAGTTCTGCAGAGTCAACAATCTATGTGATTTGTATGACATCATATTGGCGAGCTAGTCTATCCAAAGTGTCAATTATTCAGTTTTAACTAGTGAGAACTTATTACTGGGCTTTAATTTACAGAATATTTTTAGTCACGTTTTTAATGTCTTGATGGAAATTACTTACTTACGCCTGTTACTCCTAATGGAGCATAGACCGCCGACTAGCATTCTCCAACCCATTCTGTCCTGGGCCTTCTTTATAGTTCTATCCAATTGTTGTTCATCCTTCTAATGTCTGTCTCCATTTCTCGGCGTAATGTGTTCTTTGGTCTTACTCTCCTCCCTTGGCCTTGAGGATTCCAAGTGAGGGCTTGCTTTGTGAAACAGTTGGAAGTTTCCTCACTGTGTGTTCTATCCACTTCCAGAGCTTCTTCCTGATTTCTTCCTCTACTGAAACCTGGTTTGTTTTCTTCCACAGTAGGTTGTTGATAAAAATAGTACTATGCAAATACTAATATTTTTAGCTCTAAATAAACAATTATAAAATTCATGCTTCTTTAAGAAATTTGATTTCGATGACATCTATCCAAATTAACCATTTGTGATAATCGAACCCATATTCTGTATCACAAGTAGGATTTTGTTTTATGAAACTAGTTGGTATACCTAATTAATTTAATCAATGAGTATATGTGTGAAATAGAGTAATATTTATATTCGTTGGTTGATTCATAGATTGAATTGGTGAATAAATCCGAAATATTTAGCAAGTTCGTTTCAAATACATTTACATTAGTATTCATTGAAAATAATTGGCATATATATTCAAATAAATAAATAAATAAAGTTGAATTTTCTCGAATAACCATTTGACTAAACTGAATCTAATTAACTTGACAGTTATTTTTAAGAAAAGACTTAATTACACACTAAATCAAATTTAAATATTTAACGGTTGAATTCCTTTTGACAATTCCAATTATAATCACCGTTGTGGTTCATTGATTAGCATAGTTTCCTCTCTTCTTTTCTTTAAAGTTAAGATGTTTATGCTGAATTATTGGGTAGAGTGGGGGGTAGGGATGGCATTGTCTTCACAAGAATAGTCATATAGGTGTACAGTGAATCATTATGGTGTTATCTTCTCTGTATGGTAGTGGTTCCGCTATATTTACTCACATGGAAATGTCTAAAAACAACGTAAATTAGTTGAAACGTGTTATTTAAATAAGCAAAAGCTAAATTGATAAAACATACATTTATATTAGACTGAAATAATTCTATTTATTGGTTAGCACTGTTCAATGCTTGTTGTCATTACAATTGTCAGGATGAAGTTTAGCTGAGATTTTTAGTTTATTGTGGTAAGTTAAAGTAATGTAACCGAGTTTATTAAGTGAATTAAGTTCTCAAAACTGTCCAGTACGTACTCTAGTAGGTACAAATGGATCAGCACTCAAGTAAGAGTGAATACAGTGAACGCACCTGAGGACATTTTATAATGATTTTGAATAGGCGCGTAAAAATAGGAAAAACAAGTATAATTTAGTACAGACACCACATTTGTATCAAAAGCTGACATCAATTAGAAAACCATTGAAGGCCAGATAGACTGAACAATTGTTCCGTCTTAACAATGTACACCCACAACCTTTAGAAGTTAAGTTATTTGAATAGATTGAGATAGCATCCAAAAATTGGTGAAAATTATAATTTCTACTTATCATGGAAAATCGACATCGTTCGATACTGTAATGCATGATATTTATTTTGTATAAATGTAAGTAGTAGACGAGATTTTCGAGAATTTAGTATTTCTATTGGTTACTATGCCTTGGCATACTGTGCCCACTAGTGTGAGGAAAACAAATCACGCCATATTTATTTGAGACAACTCAAATATATGATCATGACTATAAACAATGGTCTAAACAGGTTTTTAGTGAAGCTATGAATGAAGTACGGATACTAGCTACCAGTCAGTGAATAATGTCGTGCTATTTATTTTTAAATGATAACAGAAATCAATGACTCATTTTGTATTGTTTGTTTGAATCTTCCTATTGATGTTCAGGACTGAACTTAATCAGTCTCGTATTGTTATACGTGTATTCTGTGAGTATTGGCCTGATATTGCCTTAAGTCAAAAGCAATCTAAGCAAAGACGGATGGTAGTCATATTTGGGACTCGTCAACTGGATGTATCTGCATCCCAGAGTTGATGTTCACTCTGGGACTCCAACTCAGTACCATCCACCTCAAACGCCATCACGTTATTCACTTAGCTACTGAGTCCTGATGGTCACTAGCTTGTGCGGTGGGAAGATTCAAACAAGCAATACAAAATGAACCCAAACTTCACTCCACCGCACAAGCTAGTGATCATCAGGACTCAGTAGCTATGTAGATGACCTTTGAGGTGAATGGTACAGTGTGAGTCCCGGAGTGAACATCAACTCTGGGATGCAGATGCATCCAGCTGACGAGTCCCAAATATGACTATGTTCCACTGCTATCCTCCATCTATCTTTGTCTAGAGATCAATAGCATCTATCTTTTAGTTACAGATGATGAAGATTTAGCAGGAGTCTCCTGTCTGTTTTGCACTAGCACCAATAGACGCTCTCATTGGAACTATAACAGTGAATAATAAGTGCCTAGTCGGATTATTATGATAATGTCTTCTGATCAGGTAAAATGTTACTTAAGTGCCGGTCATATTTCATGTAATTTCTGATATAATTTACGAAATTTTCAGTGTAGCCATTCTACTGAATGTCAGATTCGACTAATGTGAGTCTATTTCGGACAAATACTAAAAAAGTAAAAACAAATTAAAAGAAATTCACGGGTAAAGGGGGTATTTATGGAGAACGAAACAGCCCAATTTAGGTGGACAAAATATTTAAGTGAGGGATGTGAAGACTGTAAGAATAGTGGAAGCCTAGGGCTAATGTCAATCTCTTTTGATGATGGGAACAGAATATGTTTCATCTCTTGTGTTTTCCACTCTCAGACTCACTGTCTGGTTGATTACCGGCTAAGTGTAAGTTTGGAAAATCATTTGCTTACACGGTTCTGTCGAGAAATTTAGGGTGGAAAGGGTCGTGAAACTGCGAATCAGCTAACCACCCTGATGTCTGAGAACTTCTAGGAATATTAAAAAAATATAGAGACTTATATAGGGTGTGTTGATATATGTTGAGAATAATTTGACGATGTAAAAATAATCTTCCCCTAGGTTTTGTAAAGTAATGTCGCTTCAGAATGACTATTTATTAAACAGACTAGTTTGTTCTATGAATATTGTTGTACAGACGATTTTACGGAAAAAACACCTGATTTGTTTTAACTATTACCAGAACTCAATCAAAATGTTTCATAGATACTTGATAGCGAGTGAATAGGTAGCCGAGATTTGTTCAAGCCATAAATTGTTACAAATCTTTGGTTCCTAATAAATATTAACCGTTGACCGCTTGTGTCAAAAGTAATCTTTTTATTTTATACTTTGGCAAAACTGTAACAATATTTCATACTGGTCCAAAGATGAAGTTGTATGTAAATACACATTGTGTCCCTTAATGGTTTGGAATGTGGGGATGAATATCTTCGAAATACATAATAATGGTTATCTATCCAGTCTCATGAGTTGTACAACCCGACATGTGGTTTTTAAAAGGTATGGACACAATAATACAACTTTTAACGTATCGATAACATTAAGCATTAATAAAAATAAAATGTTATGTACAAGGTCATTCAATCTGGAAGCACTGGACGGCCGTTTCGTCCTACTGTGGAACTCCTCGGCAGTGCGCATCCACGATCCCGCTCACGGGATTCGAGTTCAGGACCTTTGGTCTCACGCGCGAACGCCTAACCTCTAAACCACTGAGCCGACATCTAACGGTAATTTCGTTGACTATAAATAACTTTAAACCAATTAAATAAACTTATGAAATAAACACATCAGTAAATATTTACGACTAGTTTATTTTGAATATTTCATTAAAATCAATATGGGAAAGATATGAGATAGATAACACGAAATTACAATCAACAGAACAGATAAATTTATGGCTAGCAATAGAATCCAGGCGGAGTGTTTCGTCCGGTTTGAGATTGATTATCTGGATCTACTTAAGTTCCTGTTGATGTTCACGAACCCAGTATCGTTCTCTTCAACCCCCCAACGCACTGACTACTTAACTACTGAGTTCAGATAATCGATCACTTATGCAACAAGCATAATACCCTTTATAATAATCATACAAGTAGTTTGCAGTCGACCTAGATACAAAAGTGGCAAGTTTATCTGTTGAGTCAAACAAACTCCACTTAAACAATAATCACGACGAAAAAGAAATTATAGAAAAAGTTTATAACTTTTTTATTTACTGAGGTTAAAAATCTACATTGTATTCATCTTATCATAAGCAACACCAATAACAAACTTACTTTGTTCAACCCTATAAATAGGCACATACATACAAACAAACATTTTTATACGAGCGAAGAATACAAAAACGAATTCATTCACCGAATTTATCCAATCATTTTAGAGTAGAAAAAAACAAACAATGGCAATACACTTAATCATAGCTACAATTCATTGTGAACCTACATTGAAACTCTTCGAATTCCAAAATCATATGACGAGTTTCAACTCTTCTAGAAGAATAAGTATTCACAATACAGTTAACAGTCAAATCAAAGAAGAAATAATTTCAGCATAACCATTATTTACTAACTTATCAGTTGATATAAATGAAATATAATCTATACTTTACTCAATTAATTTTTATTTTACAGACTATAATTATTCTTTTCAACAAAATTTATATCATATTTGGCTATGAATCAAAATCAATGATGTCTGGTTTATTTAAGACTAATAATGAAGTTATTAATAACATAAGTTTATCATCATCATCGTCACAGTATCCCAGATCCGATTATGCAAAAATGCCTTCTAATGATAATTTTATAAATTTTCGTCAATCTAAACAATCATTAAAGATGAATACTATGAATAATAAATTAACCAATTGTCAACTGCAGTTGGAATGTTCTACTGAAATGGAAAATATTGATAATAAACAAATGTCAATAATGAATTTTTCAACTACTCATATTACTGGTCGTATACGTATACCTGTTCGTAGTGGAAGAGGACCAGCTGGACCACCCGGTCCACAGGGACCTCCAGGACCACAGGGTGCAAGAGGATTTCGAGGACCACCTGGCGAACCAGGTAGTTTACAAGGTAAATAGCGTGTTGTATGAGAAGTAATAAATGATTCACTTATGAACCAGAATATAGATCAATGTTTGTTTCTGAGTATGCACAGAGGTTGTATATCATTTTTATACTAAAAGATATAGTGGTTTTGAAGAGATTATTTAATTTCCCGAAAAAAGTTCAGCCTAATTCTATGGACACAATGTTTAGATCATAATGCTATAAAAATATCTGTGACATAAAAGTAGCCGAAAAAACTTACTGATCATTGTGAACTGATTATTAGCGATCTATCGATGACTGTTCACATAAACCAAGGTAATGCTACAAAATGACAAATTGCCACATGACGGCAGAATAACTGCCATTTAGTATAATGTTTCAGTGAGTAATTCATTTATATGCAAATTAGTGTACAAATAAGTGTGATTAGAAATTACTCAGAGTAAAGTAGTATGACATACAAAAGTATCAGAACAAGATAATTCAAATTGAAAATTTCATTTATTTTGTTCACCACTGTTTAGTTCAAATATCTTTCAGTTTGAAATATTGTAGTTGTGTCAGTGAAATGGACTCTTTTAAATTGAAAGATTTTTTTTTGAACTAATCAATTTGGCAGATCAAAGTTCTTTATAATGTGGTGTGTGCTGTTGATGTCAACAGATTTAAGTAGTATGTATCGCCAATCGAAAGTAAAATACCTGGAGGCAGATTGTTAAGAAGCTCGAGCAAAAGAGAACGTGAACAGCGAATGATTGGTGTGGAAACAAAAGAACAATAAAGTCTGAGACGATTGATTGATATTTTGTAAATGAATTATTTACGGTTCTCAGATTCTACTAAAACATTCTGCAATTTCGTGTTCAAATACATTTGGTTGTCCCTGCTTGTGTTCTTGTTCACTACAATAATTTTTTGTATTGAACTTGAACACAATTCGCAAAATTTCAGTATAGCATTTTTATTTAAGTGAGTTTTTTGGTATAGTTTAGATATTACCAACGTTATCGACAATATAATTCTTTGACTGTTAAAACGTGATAATTCGTCTTTTTCTATAAGGTCACTTTCACTTCAAATGTAAACACGAAAAAGTGTACATTGAAAAATTAGACTACTGATTCAAAATTAGATAACACACATTGTGTGTACATTTTTAAGTAGACTCTCATTATGAGATTGAATAATCCTTCTTCATATTGTGTTAAAGCGAGTGCAACTTAGAGATTTGAATTGTTTGTGGGTTTTGTTAATCTGACTTAACATTTACCATTATTCACTTTAATTTAGGCAAGTGATATTATCCATGATCTAAAAAATCGTTCATCTCTCTACCAAAGAATGAGTATATCAAGAGGCAGCTCATTATACCTTACTTTATAACTGTGAAGCGTTAGTTTTGTTAAGTGGAGATATGAATAACTTGTAAGTAACCAGTCATAACACTTGAATGTTATAGAATGATTTAGTGCGTAATAATGAATGTAGTTATAGATTAGTATTTAGCTAAATAAACTCGGTTGATAAAGATGAGTGTTCATCGACTGACGTAGTTAGGATCAAGCCACTACGTAGTCGAATATATAATCCTTTTAGGCACAAAAGTAGGAAAGATAAGATAAATGAACGTACAAATTTTCCTTATCAGGGTCGTTTGCTTATAGCCATTTTATACAGTTATTAAACGAGAATGGGTATATTTTCTCGATTTTTCTTATGAATAGAGAAATTGAGGTAGAGTTTTCCACTGACATCAAACTAAGTTTATTATAAAATTAATAATCTGCTGGTAAATTAAATTGTTTCCTATTCCAAATAGAAGTATAAACTGAACTAGGCTTATGTTTTACGATAGCCAAAGCTTGATAAAATAGAGAAAATAAATCACTTCAGTACCCTATGATATTAATATGTCGTAAAAAGGTTTTCTAACTATTATCTAGGGTTCCTTTGTTGAACACAATACAAAATATATTAGTAAGGCAGTATCAAGAATTACTTAAAATAGTTTTGAGAGGAAAATTAATATAAGCACATTTTGGTGATCTCGCATTCTATGATACGAGTCGTTTAGTAATAAAGCCTTCATGACCGTTTTTATTATCATCATCTCAGATGCTGACTTCTGTTCAAAGTAATCACAGATGATATTCATAACGATAATGAAAGATTATAAAACAAATTATTCAGCCTAGAAAACGTAATGTCATCGGAAACATTCACCAGAGACAAATAACATCTGTTAATAAATCGATTATGTAGATATAACTCCCATGATGCACAAATGTTTTAATGGAATAGATTCATTTACATTTTATATTCAGTGTTTTAATTAGCTAAATGTACACTTCATAAGTGCAGCTTCTCAGTCTCTTCTTTCATATCATACGTAAACATAAAGAATCATTCATATAAATGGTAGTAAATTCGTGTAAGTGGTTTCTTTTCAAAATGTAGAACTATTTTTACCGGATAAAAATGGAAATTAAGTTAATAATAATCTCATTATTATTTTTGTTGAAATCAATTTACTGAAGGAACGAGTTGTATATACTGAATTTTAATTTAGATTTTGGTTGCATGGCTTTTAAAATTTGGCATTTGTTTCTCCTGAAAAAAAATCACCAAGTACATTTGACAAGTAAATAAAGGCAGAAATATCTTCGAATTTTATAGATAGGACTTATATAACAATTTAAAAGAGTGTTTTTAGTTTGTTGAACAGTAATTTTCAGTGGTGATCTATCAGCAATCGGTTCATGGTCTCAATCAAAAACTTAATAATCTCTACAATCCTATAGTGATAATCACCATGTGCTCGCTAGTGACTAGCTTCTTTAGGGAATTCTCGGAGTTCTAGTGAGAAGCCGTGACCAGTGGAGCTAATCTGTGTCGGGTAGAGACAAATATCTCAGTCAAAAACTTAGTAAACTCCACAAATTATACTGATAATTTTTAATAGATTATGATTATAATAAATAGCTATAAAAGTGTTACAGTAGTGCATTATCTAAATCAATTTTAGAAAAGGTTGTAATGTGCACGCTTTAAGAAACAGTAAATATTTTATTATCATAACATATTACTGTGATGTCTTTTAAAAGATTACTAATATCCAGATACACACTACAGGTTATTAATTAATGTCATATTGTCCAGTTTTCGGTGATGATAAGTTATTTTTATAGCAGGTCAGTGATGTAACTACATATCTAAGCTGATCAACATTATAATTTAATTTGTTCAGGATTGAATAGTTTGAATTATAAGGTATTACCCTTTTAATTAAAGTTAATATGAAACGATATTTATCAGCATAGCTTATGTTTAAACTTGGGAAAGCTGATATTTCTTTAAACAGACAAATTTGTATTATTTCGTATGAAAGCTACTATTTTTGACCATAGTGTTTAGTTATAAGGGTTATTTTCACCAAAAATGACATGAATTTATTCTGACATACAAATGAGATGATTATCATCGAAATCTAACCTACTTATAAATGTTCTTAAACGATTTCTCAAAAAATTTACTATTGAACGTTAAAGATAACTAAATTTTATGAATCATTAAACTTTTTAAGTTACTACCGTATTTTGATATACATAAAGATGAATGGTGGCTAGCAGTGGAATACAGGACGCACGTTTCATCCTATTTGAGACTTGTTAGCCGGATGTACCTGATCACTTGTAATCCTAAACAACAATGAGAAGGTATAAGCAATCAATACCAAGTGAATATATATATGTATTTCGAAAACATCTGTTAAAATAGTGTAGTACTATTAAAAAAAACAATCAAATATTTTAGTAATATAGAGTATCACTACTTTGTATGCAGAAGTTATAAAAATACTATGTAGTGTTTCGTGTAATTAATATTTCAATTTCAGTCTTCAATAGTCAATCGTCAACATTAATCCCTATCAATTCAAGTTACATCATATCATATCAGTGATAAGAAATTAATATGATACTACCATTTTTGAAACTTATTTTTAATCTTTGGACTCATTTATTATTTAACAAAATAGTTATTTCTTTCTAATTATATAAGTATTTATTTAATTTACATGAATGAGAAAAATAGACTACTGAAAATAACAACATTTCAGTAGTTATCATTTACATTGAAATTATTTATAGTAGTAACGAAGTTAAAGCATAAAGTCATATAAGTTCAAATGTCAATAGTGATTATTTTTTGTAAAATAAATAAAATGTTATTCATTTTGTTTTATTTAATTTAACTACTTAAATGACAGATGTTTATCAGTATTATATACGTTGTTTATTTGAATATCTTATCAAGATATCTAAATTTTTTGTATATATATAGGGGTATAAAGTGATCAAAATAGAAAATACGAAAAAGTAAATGCGACATAGTAAAACAAAATTGAAATAAAGAATTTAATGTCAGTAGAATAAGAAATCGGTTAATTTCAACTAGTCTCCTTATTGAAAGAAATCAGAACAATTTCTATAGATAGAAAAATAAAGTATATGTATATATATATAATCTCTCGTAAAAAAGATAGAAAGGGTAAAGTTAATTGGATAGTTTAAAACTAAAGAGAGTCAGCATAAAAGAAAAAAATCTTTTGGTTTCCTTTTATAAAATTTATTGTCAAATAGCATTTCATTCAATTATTTGTACTCATTGCTTTATCTGTATAATACTTGCGTGTTTTCTGAACATTTCTGTTCAAATTTATCAAGATAAGAAGGGCGAGAGAGAGAGAGAGGGAATGAATGAATGAATGAATTACCAAAAACATCAAGAAGAACAGAAAAAATATATAGGCAAACTGTCTTTACATTAATACAAAAATAGGGTGGATGAATAGATGGAAAGAGATTGTCTGATAAGAAGTTTTGCTTATTACTAATTTTGCTACTACCATTACTACTCTTTTTATTGTCATTTTAACTGATCTTTATAGAGAGAAGAAGAGATCCACAAAAATGCAAAGATATTTATATATGAATGTGATAGGAAATATAATTCTTATGCAT